TTTATTTTACATACAAAAATGGCATAGCAATGGGTATTGTCAACTTTGGAGACTTGTAGTTTAGCCCCATAGAATAAATTGACAAAATAAATGGTGTCAGGTAAAAGCTGCAGTGAAGGTGAAAATAATTATATGGGTTGCAAGGATTATTTGAAGCAATTCCAGGTGTGGGGGTTGATCAAACCTGCCAATTTTTGGTGTAAAAAGGTCATTTCACCAACACTTTTGGGGAGGTACTTTAGGAAGGGGTGTTACTTGCTCAGGGGCGGGATAGTCCCTCTCTCCCGTCTGACACCAAACAGCGCAGCTCATGAATGAAACAACTGCCCCTAATGCGCCCATGGACGGCTCGGAAATCTCACCAGTTCCGGGATTCTGGCTCCCAAGATTCAGCTCTTACCAAAGTTAACACAGGGCTTGTGTTTCCGGGCTGCAAGGGTCAATTCACATCCTACCCTTCTTGAGTTTAGTTCTCAGTACGGACAGGAGGGGGATGTCAATACGGTATCGAGAATGAGTACTACTAGCTCGGGCTCTAAGATATCTCAGTTCCCCATTAGTAACTATGGAGACAAGGTTTCTAGTCTGTGCGACTAGTCCCGACTATTTTTATATTTTACTTTGGGTACAACACTAGTACAGTCAAAAGAACAGCACCCAAGCACAGAAGCAATCGTGGTAGAAACCATACCTCCGCTATCACTCCCATGAATAGTAATATTTCTATCCATATAATTAAAAGGGATAATTATTGGGCTTGTCGTAACAATACCCATACACACGAGAACAGCATGACACCACCGTAAGCAGAAGCTCCGCGACAACAGAAACCGAGACCCATCCAGCTCCCATACATACCGGTAGTGGGCAAGATTAAGTGCAAAATAAATTATCCTCCTCAAAAACTACAGGGAGTTTGACATATAAAATTGCGATCCTCCTCCCCGCTCGGGAGTCAGCAAATTAGGCTAGCCGAGACGACTGCCATGTGGAACCCCCTCCAGTCTAGGCAGCCATTGAACCCGTTCTCCAGAACCCCGACGCTCAGAATCCCCAGAATATTTTATCACAACATGACCTTCAAATATCGGCGCGGTATCATGCGTAAATCCCCATCTCAAATGGCGCTATCCAAAAAAACAGTAGGTTTTTCCGAGGCTACGGTGATGGATATCATAGGCGCCCATTATATAGAAATAAGCATTTTATTCCCTACAGCGCCGATAGCGCCGAATTTCCGTGCATCGTGCTACTGTATCATAAAATCCAAACAAGCGTACCGGCAACCCGCCCCAGACTATCCCGGAAAGGGAAATCGAGTGATACCCGGCGCATCCATGTTATGTACGAGTACTGTATCATAAGCAATAAACCTCTTCCTTTAATACAAGCAGTAAACCTTCCACAGAAACTCACCCTCCCTTTATAAGTCCGAATATTTGGTGGCATAATCGGATCGGCCAGTCAGTCACTCGTCATGAACCGTGGATTCCGTTCCCCCTAAAAATTTCCATACTTACTCTGGGATCATCAGCCACGGTGAGGTACTGTAATTCACCCGTCGATATGCGCTAACCAAATTTAGAGTTGCACGCTGGTACGGTACTTGCATCGCCCGTCTATGTATGAGGCTGATTCATCGAATTAAAAAGGATCCACCACAAGTACCGGTAACCCGACTAGTTTATCTCTAGCGTCATGCAGGGGAATTCGGCACAGCTTGTATAAACTCTGCAGGATACTGAAATCCCCGTAGGTGACAGTTTCTTTTGTCAACAAACTCGTTCTGGAAATTTACTATACGATTAGGGTGGAACGGGCCGCCAACTAGACTATGAATTTCCAGGGCCTACGAGTACTATACTCGAGCACCAGTGTGGGTATGGCCACAGTCAAGCTTTAAGCCACCCGGACGTTTAGGCACTGCTGGTAGTGGAACATCATGTACAACCCAAACTTCATTCCCGGCACTTCAGAATTATGAGGTGAATGCGATTGTAGATAAAGTCCAATTAAGCTGCTGCTCTCCTCTACTCGTTTGATGCCCTGCCAGTGCTTAGGCCCTGAAGCCGCGTTTTAAGGTGGCAGGACCGGTAGGCTGCCAGTGCTGTAAGCCACAAGCGCCACCGGCTTACAGTATAGTCTATGTTGCTACAATACGATAGCACGATACGGCGGCGCAAAGAATACGGTACTCGAGTAGCCTCACTCCACTCCCAGGCCACTACCGGTATGACGCCAACATCCTAGCAAAACTCAACCCCGCCGCAAAACTCTGCCGTAATTAAAGGCCTCATCCCCCACTCCCTCCCGCCCGAATAAAACCAGAATACCAAAAATGCCCCCCCGTACAGACCTCACAACTTTCCACACCCACCTCCTCTCCAGCCGGCACATAATGGCCCTCTGTGGCGCCGGCCTCTCGGCCGGCAGCGGGCTCCCAACCTTTCGCGGAGCGGGGGGCATGTGGCGGAACTACGAAGCGACCATGCTAGCGACGCCCGAGGCATTCGAAGAGGACCCAGGGCTCGTCTGGCAGTTCTACAGCATGAGACGGCACATGGCACTCGCGGCCAAGCCCAACGCTGCGCACTTCGCGCTCGCAGAGCTGGCGAGGAGGAAGGGCGATGATGGGGGGTTTCGGACTTTGACGCAGAATGTTGACGGTGGGTCACATCTATCGTATCCCAAGTGGGGGTTAACGGGGAGATATCATAGGTTTATCCGTGCGCGCGAATCATCCGCCGGAAACCATCGATTATCTCCATGGACATCTCCTCGACATTAAGTGCTCCAACCAAAACTGCGATTACAACGTGCAGGATCTCCGCGATCCGATCATTCCGGAGCTCGCGGTGCCGCTAGCGAGGCAGAGCCTTGCGCGACGTGCCCCCGGCCCGGAGCAGAGCGCGATCGCAGAGGGGCTGGGGAAGTTAGTATACGACGAGAGTGCGCCCCTACAGCACGTCGCCAGAGAGAGAATCCCCAAGTGTCCTAAATGTCTGCTTCCCCTTCCTCCTATTCCATTCTTACATCATGAGTAACGCGTAATGTGAATCATCTATCACGTAGGCAACAACCTTCTCCGCCCTGGCGTCGTCTGGTTTGGAGAAATGCTTGATGAGGACATGCTCACCAGCATCGACCGATGGATTGATAGCGGAGTCGATTTGTGCATAGTTATCGGGACGAGTGGGAATGTTGAGCCTGCCGCTAGGTAGTTTACCCCGTCCACATCTTCCTCTCAATAGAGGGCACTAACGGCGGCTAGCTACGCCCCCCATATCCGCCAGCGCGGTGGAAAAGTGGCAATCGTAGACTTGGACGTCAGCGCGGGGGGCTGGTGGGGTGGCAAAGAGGCATTTGATTGGGTATTTGAGGGCGACGCTTCGAAGGTTAGTTCCAGTCGAGGAAAAAGAACAAGGAAACGAGCGAGCACATATGGCGATGATGTTAACAATTTACCCCACGGTATTCGCAGATCGTGCCGGAGTTGCTAAGACCGCTGATTGGGGAGATTACGATTCCAGAAAACAGCGACGCTGCAGAAGCTTAAGTTATCCTCATAGTGCCAATACAGTACCGGTGGCGTGCGAACATTCGTAGCTCTCAGCCAACCTGTGTCATAAATCCTCGCGTCCCGATATGGGAGCAGACAAATGCCACCCCCGCTCCCCTCCCGACATGCAGGAAGGGTGATATCCCGACCGGGAGATGTGGTCGCTCTCGGTCAGTCGGGAAGGAGATCACAATACCCGATTGGCTGCTTCCATTCATTTACTCGTTCGCTTCGCGCGCGTACAAGTAATATAGCAAATTTGTTTTTCCACTTTTCGAAATAGACAATACAGCCGTAGCACCGTGCGAGTCTGTGGGTGGCTCACCGGCACGCACGCTCCTTGCGTACCGTATCGGTACAGTACGGTATTGTAATCGATTGATTGCTTGCTTGTCCGGGCTGATTTGTAAGCCCTGAAATCAGTCGGTCGGTATTTGGCCCGACCACGGCACAGTACTCGAGTACAGCGCCGTATGTACCTGTACCTGTACTAGTACTAGTCCTCGAGCACCCGTACTTGTATCATATTATGCTTGTATCATAACATTCCGCCCCAATATCCCTAACCATCATTCCCCTTTTCCCTCTCTCTCCCGTTGTTTCATTGAGGGTACTTGTATGGCACGACACGGCGAGATTGCGGATAGGGCATTGCGGTACTTGTTCTTAGCCCTGCCGGAGGAGAAACGAGGAGGAAGGAGCCGCGGTTCACAGGGTGCTGGTTACTGATAGTACCGGTAGCGCCATCGGAGTCCGAGTACCGTACCGTAGTTTGACTACAATCACGATCTCTTGAGGCTACAAGTGATCTGCGCCGGACATGGCTTTCACCCTCCGTAGCTTATTAATAATATTAATAATAAGGTTGGGGATTGTTGATTGCGGATCCTGGACTCTGTGCAGGAGGGTGCTTGTCCTCGTACAGTACCATGACGTTGTGCGCCCACACCCCCAGGGGTTAGCTTGGCTAACTCGCCTAACCTATTGTAGCCTCCCCGATCCTTTGCCTTAAGTTGGGGACTTGCCGGTGCCGTATTAACCCCATCGCTTTGTATGATACCAGTAATGCTCGAGCGGGGTGTGTGTGCAGGCCTTATCCCTGAATGACGTTTGCATTCAATTCGCGTGGGAAGTGCAATGAATGAGTGGACTAGCCAGTCGAAGGGCTGTTTATTGAGCGACCGAACGGGACAGTGTTAGATTTGTAATCAGCCACGCGTGGAGGGGGGGAGGAAGGGGTTGGGGGTCGGAGAAATTGTGCTCCGTCTATTCGGACGAAGGCGGAGGGGAAGGGGTGGGGGACCAGAGGTGCACATTATAGTGGGTTGGATATAATGTACCGATTTCCCTTCCCTCTCTCCCTCCATACCCAGTTCCCTTTCCAACAGCTTAAACCAAGGGGGCAGGGTGAGAAAGAGATACCGTACGAGTACAGTACCGTAGATTCTGTTGATTAACTGACTAGCTATGGCGGATAACCCGGTTGCCAGCCGCTCCCACACCGAGGAGGGGACCCCGGGGCCGGGGAGCTGGCCGTCCCCGCCTGGCCCCTCATCAATCAGGGGAGATTCGTATACTACCGCACCTGCTCCAATTCCAGGTACCTCCTCCTCATCACCGCGAGCAGAGGAAGCACCACCATTGCAACCCCTCCCCCCCACCAGCCGTAAATCCTCCGACAAGACCACCACCAACATCGCCAACGCTGGCACCCTCGAAATCCCTCCCCTCCCAGTGAACAACGACTTTTCGCCCTCCTCCCCCTCGGACTACAAACTGAGGCAAACCCCCACGGCCACGAGCATCGGTATCAGCCCCCTAGCGGCCACAGAGACCATCCGGCCAACGCCCACCAATCGGCAAAACACTAACCTAGGGCGCACAACCTCACAACTCAACGAGGACGAAATAATCCGCATCCTGTCCCGGCGGAAAACCAACTTCTCGTCCGTGGCCGAGGACCATGACCCCGAGACTAACGCTGAGATCGAGGCCCTTCTATCCTCTATCTTTGGAACTTCTAGGCAACAGGGAAGTCAGGAGAAGGCGCGGCACTTGGGGGTTGTGTTTAAGGATGTTGTTGTCAAGGGACAGGGTCTTGGAGCTGCTCTTCAGCCTACGAATGGGGATTTCTTTCTCGGGCCGTTGAGGGCGGTCAGAAGGCTTTTGCCCGGTGGGAAGAAGATGGTTGGTGGCACGGATGCCGTTAGGACCTTGATTCATGGATTCTCTGGGTGCGTTAGGCCTGGCGAGATGTGTTTGGTTTTGGGAAGGCCCGGGAGCGGTGAGTGATAATTTGTGATGTGATTTGTTGTAGGGTAGGAGGCTAAGTTGATTGGTGTGAAGGTTGCTCGACCTTTTTGAAAGTGATCGGGAATCAGAGGAGTGGGTTTGTAGAGGTTAACGGGGACGTCACTTACGGTGGGACGGACCACGAGACTATGAGGAGGAAGTACCGTGGGGAGGTTTTGTACAATCCCGAAGATGGTGAGTCGCTCCCCCTCCTTGACATACTCCAAACACCACTGACTCATGCTACCCAGATCTTCATTACGCGACACTATCCGTCGGAGACACCCTGAAATTCGCCCTCGAAACCCGCACCCCAAGCAAGGACTCCCGTCGTGAGGGCGAGTCTCGAAAGGACTACGTGAGAGAATTCCTCCGAGTAGTTAGTAAGCTATTTTGGATCGAGCATACCTTAGATACCAAAGTCGGCGGCGAAATCGTTCGTGGAGTCTCCGGTGGCGAGAAGAAACGTGTCTCAATAGCCGAAGCAATGGTCACGAAGGCCTCCGTCCAGTGCTGGGATAATTCCACGAAAGGCCTTGACGCGAGCACCGCAATCGAGTACGTCGAGTCCCTCCGCACGCTTAGCAATATGGTGAACAATTCCACACTGGTAGCGCTGTACCAGGCCGGTGAGAGCCTTTATCAGCTTTTCGACAAAGTGCTGTTGATCGACGAAGGGCGATGCGCGTATTTCGGCCCCACAGAGAACGCGAGGGCGTACTTTGAAGGGCTGGGCTTTGTGTGTCCTCCCCGCTGGACCACGGCGGACTTCTTGACCAGCGTTACAGACAGACACGAGCGACAAATAAAGCAAGGTTGGGAAGACCGGGTCCCCCGCAACGCGGAAGAATTGGAGCAGGCCTACCAGCAATCCGAAATTGCCGCCGCCACGCAAAAGGACATTGCGGAATTCGAAAGCGCCGTCGCAACGCAACAAGAAGAGCGCCGACGCCAGGCCACCGAAAAGATTAGAGCGAGGAATTACGCCATCCCCTTCCATAAGCAAGTATATGCGTGCACGAAGCGCCAGTTCTTGGTCATGGTTGGTGACCCCGTGAGCCTGGGCGGTAAGTGGGGAGGTATTTTGTTCCAGAGTTTGATTGTTGGCAGCTTGTTCTATAACCTACCACCGGATTCTAACGGGGTGTTTCCCCGCGGTGGCATTTTGTTTTTCACCTTGTTGTTCAATGCTTTGCTCGCCCTTGCGGAACTCACGGCTGCTTTTTACTCCATACCTATTCTGTTGAAGCATAAGAGTTTGTAAGTGCTCTCCAGTGGTTGTGTGCTACGGGATGAGAGTGGGTCACGCTAATTTTTGAGTGTAGTTCGTTTTATCGTCCTTCGGCTTACGCCATCGCGCTATTCGTCGTGGATCTGCCACTGTGCTTTATCCAGGTCTTCATTTGGAACATAGTTGTGTATTTCATGTCTGGTACTTCTCCAGCCCCCACATATAAACACTGCCACAATATTAACCCATGTAGGTCTCCAACGCACGGCATCCCAATTCTTCATCAGTCTCCTAATCGTATTCATCATAACGGCAAGCATGTACGCCTTCTTCCGCATGATCGGCGCCTTCTCTGCAAGCCTCGACGTAGCGACCCGCATTACAGGTGTCGCCATCCAAGCGCTGATTGTCTACACCGGCTATCTAATCCCTCCCTCGTCAATGCACCCCTGGTTCTCCTGGCTCCGCTGGATAAACCCGATCCAGTACGGATTCGAAGCCCTCATGGCGAACGAGTTCTATAACCTCAACATACAGTGCGTCCCGCCCATGCTGGTTCCTGTAGGTCCCAACGTGGACCCGCAATATCAGTCGTGTGCGCTGCAGGGAAGCCAGCCCGGGACTACGATCGTTCGTGGAGAAGATTATATCCAGACGCAATTCACATACTCGCGGTCGCACCTTTGGCGGAATATCGGATTTGCAATTGCGTTCTGGATGTTCTTTGTTGTCATGACGGCGGTAGGACTTGAGCTTAAGAAGCCGAACAGCGGGGGCGCTGCTGTAACCGTATTTAAAAGGGGCCAGGCACCGGCGGTGGTTAAGAAGGCGATGGAGAAGAGGGATGTTGAGGTTGGCGAAAAGGAGCCGGTAGTTACTGGTGATGAGCATAATCCCGAAGAAGCTACGGTGGGCGTTGCCAGGAATGAATCAGTGTTTACATGGCAGGGCGTGACTTATACCATCCCGGTCAAGGGTGGACGCAAAACGCTGTTGGATGACGTGAGTGGGTATGTCAGGCCCGGTAAACTAACGGCGTTGATGGGCGAATCCGGCGCCGGAAAGACAACCCTCCTGAATACCCTTGCGCAACGGATCAAGTTCGGAAAGGTTGCAGGCGACTTTTTGGTTGACGGGAGGCCGCTTCCAAAGTCTTTTCAGCGCGCCACCGGGTTTGCGGAGCAGCAGGACATCCATGAGCCTACGGCTACTGTCAGGGAAGCGCTTAGGTTCTCGGCCCTGTTGAGACAGCCAAAGGAAGTTTCGCTCGAAGAGAAATATGAATATGTCGAGACGATCATTAAGCTATTGGAGATGGAAGACATCGCCGGTGCCACAGTTGGTAGCCAAGGGAGCGGACTGAACCAAGAGCAGAGGAAGCGTTTGACCATCGGTGTTGAATTAGCGAGCAAGCCAGCGTTGTTAATGTTCCTTGACGAGGTAAGCACTTCACAGCTCATCACTCGGCAGCTTTTACTAACAGGATTCCGAACAGCCCACATCCGGACTGGATTCTAACGCAGCTTTCAACGTTGTCCGCTTCCTCCGTAAGCTCGCCGACTCCGGCCAAGCAATTCTTTGCACCATCCATCAACCCAGTGCCGTCCTCTTCGAGCACTTTGACGACCTCCTTCTTCTTAAGAGCGGGGGTCGGGTAGTTTACCATGGGCCACTCGGCAACGACTCACACACAATGATAAAATACTTTGAATCAAAGGGCGCCCCACGCTGTCCCAAGGACAAGAACCCGGCAGAGTACATGCTGGAGGCGATCGGCGCTGGAGACCCCAACCGCAAAGGCAACGACTGGGCCGAAGTCTGGTCAAATTCAGCAAACCACGCCCAGCGTATCGAAGAGATCAACCAACTAATAACCACCCGCTTCTCCCAGACCTCGGAAAATCGGATAGACGATAACCGCGAATTTGCCATGCCCTGGGGCACCCAGGTTCTCGCTGTGGTGCGACGGACATTTGTAAACTACTGGCGCACGCCCGAATACACCATCGGCAAATTCGCCCTTCACATCTTCACGGGCCTTTTCAACAGCTTCACCTTCTACAAATTGGCAAACACAAGCATCGACATGCAGTCCCGCTTCTTCAGCATCTTTATGACGCTGACCATCTCCCCACCACTGATCCAACAGCTCCAACCGAAATTCCTTCACTTCCGCGACCTCTTCCAGGCACGCGAGCACGCGAGCAAGATATACCATTGGAGCGCCTTCGTCATCGGCGCCATCCTGGTAGAAATCCCCTACAGCATCGTGGCGGGGACACTATACTTTGTAGCGTGGTACTACCCCATCGGCTTCCCTAGGGACTCGTTCACGGTCGGATACACCTACTTTCTAATGCTGCTGTTCGAGTTCTACTACGTCTCCTTTGGCCAAGCCATCGCTGCGTTCTCGCCGAACGAGCTACTAGCCTCGCTGCTCGTACCTGTTTTCTTCCTATTCGTCGTGGCATTCTGCGGCGTCGTCGTGCCATACGCTTCCATTCCCAAGTTCTGGCGCTTCGTGTACTGGGTTTCGCCCTTCAAGTACTTGGTTTCCGGATACTTGGGCGCGCTAGTGCACGATATTCCCGTGCGTTGCGCGCGGGATGAATTCGCGAGATTCCCCCTACCACCCAACGTTGCCAATTGTGCCGAGTATACAGCTAGCTTCGTGCAGCGCATGGGCGGCTACGTCGAGGAGGAGGATGGCGTGTGTAAGTTTTGTCAGTATAGGGATGGGGATGAATTTGTGAGTTTTTTTTTCCTCCCCCTTTTCATGCTTTTGGGGTTGGGAAGGGCTAATGGTGGAGGGATGTATGGTTTAGGCGGCGAGTTTCAATGTCAGCTACGACTACCGCTGGCGCGACTTTGGCATTTTTTGGGCGTACATTGTGTTTAATCTTGCAGTCGTGTTTTTTAGTACTTGGTGCTTTCTTGGGGGGTGGAGGAGGATTGTTAGAGTGTTTAAGAGGCAGAAGTAAGCTAGGTATAAGATATAGGTGATTTTTAATTTTTTTTATTCCTGCATCTTATTTAGGCACTATTTGGTATTCCAGAAAGACTGAGTTTCTCTTGCTTATTTTTCCCCTCTGAAAAAAAAATACTCTATTGGAGTAGTTTTTGATACGTATGATACGAAAATATTTTGGTTATCACTTTTTTTCCATAGTTGCTTTTTTTTTTCTTTTTTTCCCCACCGTATCTCTTGTAAACCTCTCCACTCTAGGGAAATCATTTTTCCGCACCTCCTTGCACCACAAAATACGGCATTTCTTAAAAGAAACTACTCGTAGGTATCAGCTAAACCATTTTCCATATGATAATATGATAATGCAATATTATCATAGTATTGCCCATCCCCTGTTTTTAGGAGGTAGGAACGGGGATAGTAAAAGATTTCTGGAGGGGGGGGGGAGGGAAGGACGAAGGCCCCCGCCGGAGTATAGTACTGTACTCGTATGATATGCTATGCGCCGAATCGAGCGATTTTATTTTATTTTTCTATTTCTCGTCTCTTACTGGAGGTGAGGATTCTAGGCAGGAATTCCATAGAGCGAGGTGCAGGAAGAATCCCCCGCGTGGCGATGTAACTTTTGTAGCTCGGAATGTAAATTATCCCTGACATAGAAATAGGCGTATCCACCATCATATCATAGGTTCGAATTTCCCCACACCAATAGATTTCCTTCATTGGCGGAATAAAACTCTAGGGACAACAGAATACGCGGGCGCCCATGACAGGCGACAAGAAAGTTCCACGACGTCACCAATTCCCCGGGACTCACAAACGTAAAAGAAGGGTCCGTGATAGGCTCACCTGCTTGGGGATAACGGAAAGAGGTTTGTAACTTCACCTCAACACATTTCGATACATCACTTTACTTTACCCTTTCCAGGATGGCCCGAAGCCGATCGATATATCATACTAGTTTGAATCTTAGCGGAGGCGCAGGGGAATTTGGCGATGTATTAATGCAACCGCTTACGGTACAGGATCGCGGGTTAATTTAGTTATCAGGCAGGCCTCCAGGCTATACTCGAAAGATATAAAGGGCCTTTCTATCGCATTTGCGTGAATATCATAAGAAATTCTATTATCCCGCTAAAAATCAATTTTGGCAGGCTCTGCGCTAGAGGGATCTTACCCAGGGAAAGTGGGCGCTGGGGGGGGGGGGGGGGGGGGGGTAACGAGTGAGAATTAGTGATCTTCTAAGCTTTCGGAGTTAGATTTGCCCATCTCGCGTATTCTATCATGTGAGGGTATCCAATCTAGAGAAGAAATCTAGATATTATATACTATAGGAGAAAATAAACAAACCGAGTCCAATACAAACCCACCACGAGCACGAGGATTTGTTTCCCCTTTTGCAGACAATGTGGGAACCGTGGACCCATTTCTGGATTGTGTATGAGGGAGATGATCGCGCGATTAGAATTCCACTTCCCCTTCGTGGGAACTGACGAATGGATGGATGGATGGATAATATCTTGCTTGAGTTCTAATCCCCCGGTGCCTATATAAGTTCACCCCCATTGTAAAAGGGGCCTAAAAGAAATGAGAGCCGTTATCTACGGATAACCCAAAGCTGAGACGGGTGCATTATCTCATGGATACTACAGCGAGATACCGCACGGCAGGAATTGTAAACTTGAGGCTACCTCATACCAACCCCCATCCGAACACCCCCACAAGCCGGAAAAGTCCTTCAAGATTTCTGATCGCCCTCCGAGTAGGAAAACAAAACCCCAGTGTGCCCGGTCCGGGTTCCTCGCTTCCACAGTTGCCAGGCCCTATTCCACAAGGGTTAATGCTAGCACCATCAGCGTGATCTTTAACCTTCCGCGAAAAAAAGAAAAAAAAAATTCCCCACCTCTTTCACCAGGGCATCCGTGTGTGTAAGAATTATGGGGGAGGAGGTTGGGCACCAATGTGCGTGCTTGCGTCCATGAGCGGGGAATTCAGGCAGCGGGATGACAAGTTTTCAATTTATGTACTGCGGCAAGGTAAGGAAGTGAAAGTCACCGACGCTCAGCACGATCGTAGCTAAAACAGTGGGATCTCGGATATCCTACCTAGCAGGTGAAAAAGGCACTTTCAGAGCCTTCTTAAGTTTTTTTTCAAAGCGGTTTGGATGGATAGATTCTGTGGTGATGCATACTTTTTGGACAAATTCCCAGCGATGGCGCTCCAAAACCCTTGTGCCATAACGACACTATTATAGTTCATATCAACTATCCCGTTGGCATACATCCTCTAATAAAAAATTAAAAATCAAAAAAAAACCCCCCTGCAGGGCTTGGGGGGGTATTTCGAGGAGAGGAACGCGCAAGGAATTCGACCTCTATACATTCCCGCAGTACCAGTGCGAGTGCAGCATTATGTCCCCGGAATACTTCAAGTTCAAGAATGGATGATCTAGCCATACCATCCATATCTGTAGTAATCCAGTACAGTCGGTCCAGAGCAGCAAAACGCTGCCTTCGAGTGATAACTCATGATTTCTTACTTTTCTCCCTGAGGAGGTGGACAATCTCGGAAGCCAAACCACCTATCATCGCACATGCTGTATGATATCACACCGCGCAATCACACCCGTAAATACCCACCTCGCATTGCCACCAGTAAAGGAAATGGGAACACTAGCTGAGGTGATAAAGGCTATCACTCAAACTTGATTTATCACGAGAATTTCACCATCATTAGAATTCCTCAGCACTCCCAGTTCCTCCGCCTCCTCCTCTAGTTTTTACATACCAAACACCCTACTTGTGCACCACCTAACTAACTCTTGGGAGGTACCCCAAATCCGAGTGGAGGAGATCACGCACACATACACTGACTCTCTCTTCTCCATTCTAGTAGTAAGGCACTGTATTCCATTGGTGGAGGATTCCTTCCGACCTTTCTCATTACCGCCAAACGAGTGATTTCACATAAAAGAGAGTTCCACCGGTGGCGTATTTCGCCTAACCATTGTTTCTGCCCAAACAGGTGAGTTCAAGGGGAAGAGAATATTATATAAGGGGAACAAGCCGATGCACTGTATCCTCCATAATTATGCAGCCTATACTCCACCTCGAGTTGTGCACTAAAATACAAATAAACCCGGAGGAAAATCAGCGCCGGGCGGAGCGCGCGGTGGACAGCCACGCGGACAAAAGTGCCAATAATGCCACGAAAATTCCCATTAGCAAGCCTACACGTGAACTGTCCAGACGGCTCCTATAATAAGTATCATGGAATACAGTTCAGAACCCGGTATTTCCTCCACCACACAGCAATGTCAAATATCCCATCGCCGGGCGTGCCCTCCCCACCAGTGAAAATACAGTCCCCGAGGTTCCGTAGCTCCCTTATGATAAGCAATTGAGAAACACGTGACATCAGGAATACCCTAAGAGGTTCACCCATCGACGTTTACCATGCCAACCGTAGAGAAAAGGCAGAATCGCTATCCTAGGCAAAGCCGAGTGGGTACGATACAATATCCTCACGCTGTCGGTTTAGCACATTTCTTGCAGGTCAGCACTTGTCATATATACCACACAATCAATGGGAAGAAAGAAAGAAAGAAGAAAAAAAGAAAAAAAAACTTTCCTACTTCCGCCACTGCCTGGAATACTAGTACTGTACATTAGAGAACGTCCCAGACTCGGACATTCACGAACAGAGCCTGTCCCCGAGGTGTCGCACAGATATATATATATAGCAGTATATCAGTGGGGTGTCTCCGCAGTTAGAGTTGCTGTAAAGGTTTTGTTTAACCACTCAAGTTATAATAGCCCCCCTCCCGGATGCTGTGTAAGTATCGAACCCGTACTGTGCTGTTACCGCAGGTGCCAGACTGCAGGAATACGGCACGGTAATGTGCAATGGAGCAGGCAATTATCTGGCTAGCCCCAGCTCTCAAGCTTAGGTGCCAGCCGGCATAGTGACCGATCTTTCCGGTGCCGGAAATGGTAGGGGATGCTACGGTAGCGGTGGTTTAAGTAATCTGGCAGGTACCATACGCGATCCGCTCCCGGTGAAGGAAAGGAAAGGGAGAATCCAACAAGCGGCGAGCGGAATAGAGTATAACAGTAATTGCAATAGCATCCGGCACAAATGGTAAACACCCAACCATAACACCCGCTAAACGACGCTCAAGCCACGGAGTCTACTTGATGGATGGTGTTGGTTGTTTGGGGGTGTTATCATACGCCACGGCTATTTCTCAATGACTCGCGGTTGTTCAAGGGGTTTGAGTCTCTAGCGATAAGGTGATTGGTGTTCTCACGGTGGATCATGCAAGCTATTAAGCTTGTAAAGAAATGTGTTGACGACTTCCAGTACTAGAATCACCACCAATTAATCTACTTGTGTCACGGCACAAGGGCATTAAAAGCGAGTGATATCACATGATAGAAAATACTGATACTGAATTTAGTGAGTGGTAATTACTAACACAACACCAATCTATCTATCCCCACTAGCAAAACCCCTCCCTAGATGCAAACTTCAGTTAGTCCCTGGGAGGCCTTCTACCCGCCAACAACCCACCCACCCTGCCACATCCTGCCCACCTCCTGTGTAAACAACGCCCTAACCGCATCCAACCTTACCCTTTCGCCCGGGTGCTCGCGAACACACAGCTCAACCATATTGCGCCAGGTATCGGGAATGTTCATCTCCGCAGACCACCTAACTTCAACTCCTCCTGTAATGTCCAGGAGCTCGGCAGGTACTTGCTCAAGCATCATCCAGAGCATAACGCCGAGCGAGTAGGTTTCTACAGCTTCCAAGGCTTTGGGGATGGATTTCCATTCCTGAAATATATTTGGGAGCTCCCTGTCGTGAGTGCCTTTTGTCTGGCTAGCTGGTGTTGGGGGGGTGGAGGAGGTAATGGAGAAGCGTTTGGTGGAGGGTGAGCGTTGGTGGTGGTGATGGCGGTCGAATAAAGAGGGGAGCTCAGGGCTGTCGGTGTGGATGATAGAGTCGAGAAATCTTTTCTCCTCGTCGAGCTCTTCGCGTTCCTGAGCTAGTTGTTCCTGCCTGATTCTAGCGGAGTGATTTTGACGCCATTTCAAGCTTGCTTGGACGGAGCTGCCCCGACGACTGTAACGTTCTCTGACTTCCCATTCACCCTTTACCCGACTTTCCGGTGGGAAACGCCAGGAGGATAACATCTTTAGTTCGGTGCCTTTTCCAAATCCACGGAGGTGTAGCAGAAGGTACTGGTCCACGTAGAATCTCTCCAGACCGAAACCCACACCGCTCTCACCGAGCGACATACCTGCAACGCGATGAAGGTCTATGACAGCAGTGGTCATTTGCAAAGCCCATTTGGCCTTCTGTAGTAAACATATCTTTCTTCTCCTTTTGCGTCCTAGGATGGAGGAAAGGGATATAGAATCGCTGAAAATATACTCACTCAGTTTGCCATACTTGTAATACTCTGTTATGAAACCGATGACCTTCCTCGCGGTCCCTGGTTTCCCCAACGCAACGTAGCCAATTGGGGCCTGGGCAATGTAAGGATGAAGAGGGAGGCTATTTAAAACTCTCATCTCGGAGTAAATATGGTCCACCTGCTCGGAGATGTCAAGATCTTCGCCCGCCGGCAAACTGTCAAGGTCAAGTGCTTTGATAAATACAGTATGACCTTCGAGCATACCGGCCCAAGCTATATCGCCCAATTTTTTCTCCCAAATAATTTCCGACCGGTCGTTGAACGAAGGCCCAGACCTCTGCCCAGTAAATTCGATCCCTAATTGAGTAGGCGTCATTAAACTGGAAAGAAGCAGCTGATAAGCCCACGTTGGAACAAGATTGCACTGAGGCTCCCCATCACTGGTCATCTGTATTTCGAGGAGATGCCACGGGCTTCCAAATAACGAGCCCCCCAATATTTGAGTGGGAATGCATGTTAGTAATTTCGTGAGAGCCACCCCTGGCCCTGCAGGAAGCGAGTCATCCTGGTCCTGAACCTGGATTGGCGAAGTTATTGGTGAGCCATCGGGAGTGTGATATACGGTGCTGGGCTCGGACTTGATGAGGACTGCATTTTGAACAATGTTTGTCCCAACCAGACCAAGCTCGAGGGACGCATAGGCTTGATTTTCGGCAACCTTATAGTTAATGACCTCTAACGCGTATGTAGCTGGTGACGAGGGGTGGTTATCCTCAAAAGACGGTGCTCTACTACCGCAGGAGGAGAACGAACCCGGGGCAGATGGGGTGGGCTGCGATCGGGGGGGGAAAGGTAATACGTCGCAGCCGCCAATGAGGGAACTGCTTGACTGCGGAAACGCTCCACGAGTAGGGGAGGATAGGGGGGAGGGGGGACGGGGGAAGCCGGCGGACATGGTGATGAGCGGGGAACTGACAAACAAGGCCGGGCTGCCGCAGATATGTAAGTCTTGTCAGAATGTGATGGGATGGAAGGGTGAAAAAAAGGAAAAAGGGAAAAAGAAAGAATAGGAGGGATTCGATGGTTAAACCTGGTGGGGGGGAGAAACATACAATGATTAGTTGTTGTTGTTGTACCGGTAGGGAGGGATGGTGGCCAGTGGCTGGGAAGGTCTGGAGCTCTGAGCTACAGGACGAGTATGTTGTGCAGCGGGCGAAATGACGTCGAGCCTGCAGAGCCGCATTCGTGAGGGAATGTGGGAAATGAAGGGGGAGAGAGAGGGAGAGAGGGAAAGGAACAGGATAGGATGCGATTTCCTAAAAGAGGCTCCCCATCTGGACCGCAGATTACAGATACAACCCCGCAGAGGACAAGCGAGCCCTGCAGCCATCTCTCGGGCATATTTTGTCCTGGCCAGTGAAGCTATCATCCCGACCTCACGCTCGCTCGATGCAAACTGGCACGTTGCACGGCGCACGCAACCCGAAGCGACCATCGCTCAATGAGAAAAAAGCCGGCTCCCCCCCCACATCCGCCGGTGAACCGGACGGCTTACCGTACGGCGCCGTGGCCACCATCACAAGTCCATAACCTCACGAGGCTCACGTATCACGTTTGCAGCGTGTCTCTGCCGTGATCGTATAAATAGCGGTGAGCCAAAGGGCAGATAGTCCCCACCCTTACGCTTCCCACACTTTGGAGGGCACTTTATCCTCCTCCCAGCCTTCCCCTCATTCTCCCTCTAATCTCGATCCTCAGGAATCCCAAAGCCACGGTATCCCTGCGAGGCATAGATTGCGTGTGGAGAATCCTATCCATGCATCTCGCCTTCGATTGGAGAGGGGAGAAAGAGCTCCCTGACGTTTTTCCGTAAGCGGGAGACCACCTCACGCATGTCGTCGAGCAACATCTGGCAGGGACAAGGTGAACAGTACCAGTACCGGTACCTGTAAATAGTACGAGTGTGATAGCAAGTTTTTCCCCCACGAGTCGCTTCAGGAACTTTATTGCCTCCGAATAAGCCACACCAACGGTACCGTGGTCTGCTTTGGGTATCCACAGAGTGGCCCTTGGTACCGTAGCGTAGCGGTACGGTACCTGTATGGCAGCGCACCCCTCCAGTGCCGGTACGGGTGCTAAGCACTCATGTGTGATACAAACACCCTCTCCGGGCCAACCGCTCCGTACCGCAAAATCCCCAACTGAACAACGCACTGAGAGATATATGGGTTGAAACCCGCTCTTCACAGAGGTCAGAGATAAAGATGCTGCCGCCTTGTGCCCTCGAGCATTGTAGATGTTGCTATCATACGGTGAATTACGTGAGCGGCGTACAGGTTGCCCTGAAGCTACAGCGCAGCTACAGCGGAGTTACAGTGCCGGTAGCATATCATGCCTAGGATCCCGGCTAGGGCATTAATGGGCAGCGCGAAGTGCAGTGCATCGCAGGCCACACCATATGATACCTCCCTCCCATCCGTTTGCCAGCCCTGCTCGTATTATGCTACCTGTGCCGAGCACACAGAATGATACTGTATCTCACATCTGACGCCCTGCTAGGAAAGGAACATCTGCATTCGTACAGCGTTCATTTATTAGTAGATTTGTTTCACTCTGATTCCCGCCTGCCGGCACTCTATTTGACTCGCTTGTGCATCGCTCGCTTGCTCACTTGCTCGGGCTGAGGGTTGGTTATTCCCACCTTTTTTCCCTCAGCGGCAGAGCCAACCACCCTAATTTCTTCACCCCTCTCTTCCCTACGGGGTCGAGGAGAGGAGAGAGGAGGATATAATTCAGAATTGCGGCTTTGTTTTGTGTCCCCAGTTCTAGACATGATCCGTGTTTTCCTGCTACACTTTGGTACCGGTGCTCATGTCACGCGGACCGGATAAGTTGTCTGACGTTCGGAGTCTAACCAAGCCAGGAGATCTCTGAACTGGATGGTGGTGTCCCAGTGTCGTAGTGGTTGTTCATTCGTTGTCGCTCTCTGCCTCACTCTTGTGAACCAGTCGCGGGTTGCCGGTTGCCTCGTTCCAACCAGTGGCACACAACTACGGTACTGGTATTCCCCCCCTCCCGCAGAGTCTCCCACCACCACCTGTCCTCTCTCCTCTTCCTTCCCGCGTTCCCATTTCAACTCCTCCCACCAATCCATACCGCTGTCTCGGTACCCTTCCGTTCCTTCTTTCTTTTGTCTATTCGTTCTGTTTTTCCCTTACCCATACACCTACCAATCGCGGTAACATAAAACCGTTACCCGCACCAGCCTCTCCCAGTGAGGAACAAGAGCTACATTCGGGAAAGGAGGAATCTCTACGGCCCGTCACACTGTACTTGTACGCTACGGCGCCGTAACCTGTTATATTATTGAGAGAGGGGGAGAGAGAGGAGGGAGGGAGAGGAGAAAGAGGAGCTGGTCGGGAAGAGAATCAAGTGCACGGTACATACCAAACGGCTACAGAATTTGGGTCAAGTTTTCTCCTCAGATACCCACATCAAACGCGGTTATCCGTCGAAAACATCTTGCGCCCTCGCGGTTGGTGCGATTGGGGTTTATTTGGCGGTCAGAATTCCACCGGTGCTGGATGAATACCGCACATACAGTGGTTTCACTTCCTCTGCCCCCGAAGCGACTGTTGTTTTAACTTGACGCCCTCCCTCACGCTTCTTCCATTCCCTTGCCGCAACCACCATCACCAGCGCTGTTATAACTGTCGTGGTCATCCCCCTTTCCCACACTCTCTCACCAAAGAAATAAGATGGGTGTATGTTCGTCCTGTCTCGGCATTCGCCGGAAAGACGACGTAGTTATCCCTTCTCCCCATTCAATCATTCATCATTAATAACAAACCTGCCTTAGTCCGAACATCAACGTCTTCTCACCGCCTCAAACGATCACCATCATAGTCATTCCTATACCAATGGGAATTTCGCTAATTCCCCACATCACCACTCCATCCCGGACCCTCAAGCGCTCCTCCACGAACGCGAATACCTAGATCGTCTCGTAGCGCAGACGTCAGAAAATCTTATAGACATATTCGCCCCTCCAATGCTCACACACAGCAATTCTACCGCTACACCGAATAGTCGCGGCGAGTGGTATCGCAGTGTGCTCAGTAAAACTAGTCCCCCTAACAATGGACCCGAAATGCCCGTCGTTTTGGACCCTAGTGTTGTCGGCGGCTCCGAGAGAGAATGGTTGGAGAGTGTCCTGAAAGGCGGGGAAGAGGCGGTGAGGGAAGTTGGCAAGGTAAAGGGTGTCGGAAAATTGGTGGTTGGGTTGGATTACGAGGGGTGATGGCTGCTTTTGCGATATGGAATGGTTTTAACGTCCAGGTTGAGCAAGGGAATGGGGGAGGTAACTGGTAATTTTTTTTTTTTCCTTTCTGTCAATCTCACAAAAACTTATTTAGTTTTGGTCACTAACCGTTGGCATTACTACCACTACTAACTACACTACACCACTGACATATCTGCTTTACCCTCCATATTTTTCCTTTCCTTCCGCTTTCTCTTTTCTCGTTTCTTTCATGTTTTATCTATTAGGGGGTTTCCATTCATCTTCCTATCTTCAGTCCAACTTCTCCGTACTGGCAAACACTGCTGTAACGAATTTCCTTTTTTTTTTATCTTTTTTTTTTATTAGCATTAGCTGTGGGGGCGTATTTTTCCTTCTATTACCATGTTGTGCCTGGGGGGAGTCGCCGGCGGGTTTGAAGAGCACAGGGGTGACGTATCGTATGGGTGAGACATTCTGTGATACTACCATATTATATACAGATAATTTTGTCTTGCACAATTCGGTCTCCTCCATTGCTGTATATCTGCCCCGGAAGGTCCCATTTATATCGTGATTGGCCCCCCGCCAAACAATACCAATTGCAAACAAAAAACGAGGGCATCCAACCTATACCCCCAAGCGGCTTCCCCGTCGTAAGCCCTCTTAAGGGTTCGATTAGCCCTATGTACGTACACACGTACATACTCGAAGGCGTCCTGATCACCACAGTGTTTCCTCCTGCTGCCCTACCCCGTCCCACCCGTCTCGTCCTCCCCCTTCATCTTCCCACCACTATCTCCCCCGCTTTCTTGCCCTATCAATCCTACGACAATTTCTTCTATCATAATATTATCATACCACTCCCATCATTACTTCTCTTTCTTGCCCTGCCCCCGCCCGTTCCTATCTATATCCGCCCTATTGTCGTCTGACTATGGATCCGCATCTGCCACACACCCTTCCGCCCTCAATTGGTGGAGAATCGAAACCTCTTGGAGGTGGTGTTTTTACCAGGCGCCCGGCGGCTGGGGCATTTGACTCTATTGGACAAAATTTCAAGTTTGCTCCTCCCGCAAGGAAGGAGGGTATTTATCTCCACCCCCCGTGACAATATTGCCCCTGCTTACGACACATTTAGCATCCAGTTCCCTTTCCCTAAACACCGAGAGAGATGGATTTAATGGTAACCATATAACTCCCGTGTTTGCAAAGTTACTAATTGTTTAGCTTTAAAATTGAGCTCTCCGTTTGTTCCATCAGCTTCCGGGCCACTCAACCCTGGCCTTGCAAGTGGTAACAGAAAGAGGCCATTTGAAACAAAGGACGGTGGATTTCCCATCCCCGGGACGAGCAGGCCTGCAAAGAGGGAGAGGATCGCCGCTAGATCAGGCAATTCTTCAGCGAAGCCCGCAGTCATCGTCCTGGACGATGACGATAATGAGGCAGAAAACAAATATCCCGCGCTCGTGGCCGCTCCAGAAAATGGAAATTCCAATAAGGCCCCTGTTTCCGGTACGCACAGTGGTGCAGCGCAAGGGGGTAAAGTTTTGAGATCCGGGGAAGATGGCTCCCGTGCAAGAAAAAGATCCAGCGAGTTTCCTTCTGCGGGCTCTGATTCTTCAGCCCAGTCCTCTCAAGCCAGCGGGCGAACTGTACTTCCTCATGACCGGAATTTGGGAAGGCGCCATTACCATCACCCGGCTTCCGCAGCAGGTAAAGACAAACCGGATCCCCCAATTCCTACTACACCGAATTTTAGCGATGCCCTCGATTGGAACCGAAGCCAGCGCAATCTTTTGATAGCAATGAACAGCCTTTCGGCAGAAAAGGAGTCTCTTGAAAAAGAGCTGACAGCAAAGGATCTAGCTCTCGAAGCAGAGCATCGCCTTGCCGAGGCCGAGAGAGAGAGGGGGGCACAGCTTGAGATCAAGATCGCAAAAGATACCAAGAAAATCTCCACCATTAAAGAAAAAGTTGATGGTCTGCACAAGTTTTTCAACGGTATGGGGTGCGATTATAAAGTTTTACAAGAAAAGTACACAAAGCTAAATGCTCTATTCACCGAGGCCTGCAAAGAGAAAGGGAATATACAGAGTGATCACGAGGAGATTAGGCTAGTAGTTCAAAGGCTCGAGAAGGAGAACAGTGAGCTTTTAGAATCGATATCCCACACAAAAGAGAAGCTATTCAAGTTTGAAAAACGCATGTCCCACCCGCCTGCACCGCCACAACACTATGCTAACTAGTATATAGTGAACGAAGCCAACGTTTATCTACAACAACAACTTTCCGAGAATGCGGGACTTCTGGCTGCCGAGAGGGACAGAGTGCAAACGTTAGAGTTACAAGCCCGTGAAGACCTGAACTATTTTCGTCATGAAATCGAGCAGAGACAAATTATGTTTGACATCACACGGAAAAATCTCACAGATTTTGAAAAACAACTTTCTGAAGTCGATAATATAGGTCGAGCTATCGGGACAATTAAGGAGTCTAACTCAAAAATCGCGGAACAGCTTATTCAAAACTTGTCAACCAAATATGTACAACTTGAGACTAACTTGAGCATCCGCGTGCACGATATTAAAAGCGTGATTGAGGATGCTGTGAGTAAATGTTTGGAGAACTCTGAGCAGAGGTGTGCAAACTCATCACGCCATCTCGAGTTATATTTCGCAGCTGACATAGACAAGGTTGAACGGATTGGCTTCAATTTTTGAAAAGATAGATATGCGGTCAGATTACCAGAAAATGGTGAATGAATGTAAGAAATTCTTTGATGAGTAAGGCGCGAATTCTCTCCCAACGAGTATTAGATCAGCTAACAGATGCCAGCATTGTAAAAATATCCACTCAAACCCATAAAATTACCTCTGATTCGGCTAGCTTTGGGAGTGAATTTGTTGAACACCTTAATTCCCAAATCCGTCACTTGGAAGGTCAACTCGAAGAATTGCGGAAGTGTCGCAGAATCGATCTCGCCAAGCTCACTCAGAGAGAAGCGGAACTGAATGGTTTAAAGCATGAAATTGAGGAAAAGCAGAGCGAGGGGCTCCTCTGCACCAGGCTAGAAACTCTCCTACAGGGCGGGTAGTTACCATTAGCCACTTCTTTGATAGACCTTCCCTTCTAACTCGTCACCCAGGAATGCTCTCTTGAGCGAGAAAATTGCGTCTCTCGGTTCAAACATCCAGAATGGATTAGGAGATAGTTCAATTGTCGCCCTCAAGCAGGAGGTTTCTGAGCTAAATGGGAAGCTTGAGCAGATTACAAGAAGCTTCCATGATCACCTGTCAGAGAAAAACAGAGAGATCTCTCGACTGGAATCTCAAGCTAGAAGTTTGGATCTTGTTTACTCAGAGGCGCGCAAGAAGATTGCAAACTTTGATAAGGAAAAGACCGAGTATATGTCCCTTCTTGGAAGCCAGAGGTTGCAGGAGCGTATAGAGCTAGAAAACGCAGCCAATAGTCTCAGACTTTCAGAAACATCCAGTCTCAATAATAGAATCAGATCTTTGGAGGTGCAGAAGGAGAGGCTTGAGGCTGCCAACACACTACTTGAAGAGAGGCTTCAGACGAAGGCCCCAAAAGATTTGGTACGCTTAATTGATCCCCCCCGCCGCTCAACCCTTTGCTGGAGTCGTTTTGACAATAAAACTATAGTCAGGACAAGAGAAATTACGGACAGCGGTATGGAATGACGACCCCTATATCAAGAAATAATGATTTCCTGACAAAAACTAGGCACCCGATTTAGAGAGGATCAATTCAGAAACTGTAAGCAAATGCAACAATCTAGAGCGAGAATTACGTGAGCTCACCTTTCAGTCCTCCATGGAGCGTACTCTGGCAGATGCGAAATGCCAGCAACTTTCCACCGAGTCGGAACTTCGACAGCAGGTCGAAGATTTACAAACCAATTTAATATCCTCAAATCAAGAGTTAATCGATGCACAGGCTAGAAGCAAAGTGTTTCGTCAGAATCTTCGAGACGCGATGCAAACACTTGAGACCAGTCAAGCCACCCTGAATAGGGTGATTTTGGTCACGATTCAGGGTCGTAGTGAAAATAAGTCATTGGCTGTAAGGCTAAGAAATCTAGAAGATGTGAATCAAAGACTCCTTGGCAAGGGTGGAGTAACGACAAATCCCGCATCCGGACAGTTAGAACAGCCGCGCAACGCTTTATCTCAGTCACAGCCGCCCCACAAAAGCGGAGCTACCAGGAAGAGTGGCAAGGTAATGTTTGCTTTCCGGTTATTGAATACAGCTAATAGTTTTTAAAAGGACAAAAACTTTGAAACGCCAATAATGAGTCTGACTAGCATTAGCGATGCGCCCGAATTCCAGCGCGAGGAACCCAGCGGCGATGAGGAGGTGGATTACCAAAGATTGGCAGCCGAAATTCTACACACTAATGATAGGGCGCGGGTTAATAGGAGCACTACCAGCATTGAGTCTCTCGTCAAGCCAATCGCCCCCCGTTCCAAGCCCAGGGAATCCCAGGTTGGTCCCGGCGACTCAGGGAAGAGATATAACCAAGCATTGAAAACCTTATCCTCTTCAGCCCGCAAGGCACCAGCTACTAAGACCATGATTACGGAAGATTCGCAAAATTCTGATGAGGAGAAATACTGGGCCCTGCCACCAATGTCCTCACCACAATTCCATCTTTCTCCAGCTAATCCCAACGTTGATGGCCCTAGCAAGCTCAATTCAGGAGAGTCTCGATGGGGTACCTTGAACCGCCAGTTCCAGTCGGGCCAGCCTCCTCAAGTTGCGGAAAAGACTAAGGTATCTTCCGGACACCGTTCTGAGGCCCTGGGCCATGAGACGGGGAAGCAGACCAAGCCTAAACTGGTCCGCCATAGGAACAAGAAAGTCAGGGACGAGGATGCGATGACCGAAGAATCCACAAAGGAACAAGAGAGCGGAGGAAAGGGTACAGGAGCCCATAGCTCTGGCTCTTTCAAGGCTGCTCAAAAGAAAAAGAGGGCTTCAAAGAAGCACTAGAGTGGTGATTTGACTTTATAGTAATACTATATCATTATTGTTATTTTCATTTTTTTCGTCTGAACGGCTGTTTATTAGTGGTATTGCTCTTTTATGATTTCATGCCCTAAATGTTGTATCGGCTGGGTTTATACGTAGAGGTTGCAGTTTAGGAGAACTGAACTGGATCTTTTACCTGTGGGTTTGGGGTTTCACTATGGTGTACGCTTCGGAAGGTGAATGTGCAGAAGGCGAGAAATGGCCACCCCGATAGCTAGCACTCAAAACTCTAGGGACTCCGGGCAACGATTGAGCAAAGTCTGACCATCGCACAGGGGGGAACCCATCCAAGACAGTCCATATAAATTTACACGCCCGCCACCCTACTAAGCCCCCAAACTAACGATTCTTGAACTTCTTCTGCTCTAAAAACAACACCCGTCGCTTAACTATCACCCGCCAGTCAGCCACCCTGCCATCCCCTCCCCTCAAAAAAAAAAAGTAAAAGCTTACCAACAGGATCATACTTTATCATGCTCAAGGGCTTATGCGTGCGTGGGCGTATGAACGACTTGAAGTACCCGGTCATGGCCATAGATATCAATCGCACGACTACAGTCCGGGATTTCGCTGCTCGCGAGTTAGCTGGCCCTGACAGGGTGGGTGATCAATGGCGAGGGGGGTACCTTTCTTGGCCATGGTTTTTCCGGCTGGGTGACGGGATGGAGATGGATGGATGGAGGGATGGATAGATGGGAGCGGTTTGAGGCTCGGTTTGGCTCAGCTTGAGTGGAAATGGAGGGGTTACCCGGTTTTTGGTACCGAAGAAGCACCCGCTGGCTAGGGTTGATGTGATCGGCCGGGGGTGTCAACAGGGGGGTGCCAACAGTAGAGTGGTTTTGAGAGGCAAAGTCTCGAGGGAAGGGAGGTCTGGCGCGGAGTTGGTAGGATAGACTGATGGTCTTTTCCCGTGGTGGGAAAGGGGAAATTGCATTGGCGGGGTGTGTTAGAATGGGAAAGGGGAAGTCATTGGGTGTCACTCGCCGGTGCGTTACTGGAAGTGGGGTTGCTCGGGTATCTGCAAATTGAATGGTCCAACTTATCCTTCCGGGCGACACATATGATAATATTATAGTGAAATTCGAGCGAATGGACGAATGGACGAATAAATGGAGGGTAGGGATAGGTAAGTAGAGAGGTGGATGGAGTTTTCTCGTAGATGTTGGGTACGGTAGTGGGAGGGTTGACCAGGGAACAGTATCCCGATAATACTTCCATGGATAAGGTGGATTGGGTTCAGTTAGGGGGAAGGGATTGGGTTGGTGAGAAGTTTGTTTGATTTAATTGCGGTCTTTATTTTATTCTCGAGGCAAGATTTGATATAAATCGTGAGAGGTCACTTCACGATACTCATCCGTTAGGACATAGGTTATACGAGGCGATACAGGATCAGAACGGACGAAGAAGTGATCGGACGAGAGGGCTCGTATGAGAGGATCCCTCGACGCTGGGAAGGTGGATGCCATGTTTTTGTGCTTGTGGTTCTGATAAAGAATTTCTCCGGCCTCCACCCAGGCAACTCTCTTGATAATGCTTGTTTTTGGATACCCGCCGAAACCCCCGAATCGCGGAATCTTGCGCAAACAACGAAATGCGATTGAGGAGACTCATAGTAGAGAGATATCCAACATTTTGCAGAAGATGTTGGTATTTGGGTGAGTGTTGGTGACAGAAGAGGCGTTGGAATTGTGGAACTCTATTCCCCATCCTGGAGCACTGCATTTACTTTAAGCTAGTTGATTAGTTTGTCCCCCTAGATGGTTGTGATCCCGGAGTCGGGGCTTTCTTGTTGGGGCCGGGGCGTGTGCTAAAGGGTTGTAGTTGATTTAGTCTATCATACCACCAGACCTTATTCGAGATTAATATTATTATTTTTCTTCTCCGCTTCCAGGCCGTGTTCATCTTTACCTTCCCTATAAAATATCAGGGGCCAGACAGGTGCCTAGAATCCGAAGATCAAAGTCAACGACGCTTGTTACAACACTTGGGAATTTGGACCAGATTTCTTCCCCGGGGGCAAATCACGAGCAAACAGGGGCCTCCGCATCATAGGCAAGCTCATAGCGAACTCAGGAGTACATCTTACGAAGCCTGGTCTTTCAGCCCGAGGATTGTATTTATCATAGCTGACGAGGTTTCACTTTAACCTTACGAGCTCGAAGGCCTTTTTTTCACTCTCTTGGGCCCTCAATACACCACAATTGACAAATCACCTCTCTCGATAGTTTCACTGAGAATCGAGTGAGGCCTCGTGCTACCGATCTGCATTACAGTGAAAGGGCAGGACTCGGGATGCGGCTGCGGTATTGGTCGTGTTAAAATTGGGTCTATGCGTGGGAATGGGATATCATACCTACTAAAGCGCAAGTCCCTGACTCTGCCTAATCACATTGTTGTTCGTGGCACATACTCGAGTAATTAGCATTTTCTTACCGTACCCCATCGGGTACAACGGTAAAGAGGCTCCTAAATTTCTTCTACTTAGATCTTTTAAATTCCTCGAGGGTACTGTACAAAGTTCTGCATAGAACCTGTAGGCTATGGCACGCAAGTTGGGATCACTCGAAAAACATAACCATAACGAAAATGGCAAACACTGAATAACTTTCTATCATACCTAAAGTGGGATGCCAAAGGAGTTACCATGCTTGTTTGGTTTTACGAATTAGTCTAGGGGAATATAACGGACTAATTAATGAGAAGATTAGATGAGTCTCTTTACACTAGGGGTGTTGGGCTCAAGCGCTGTGCTAGTTCACGGATTCACGCGCCTCCGCTCCCAATTCTGTGACTCTTGGGCTGGCGTGCGGGGCGCGCATCGCGGGACCAAAGGGGGTACAAGTACCGGGAGTGACGTATCGTAACCGCAGTCCTAAGGACAGGCATTCTTGCATTGCCCGAATAAAGGCGCGAGTTCTGAAATCATATCACACGGTACGTTCGGTACCGGTATCACAACCCCTTCAGGGATCGAAGCGTGAGCTTGATACATGATTGACGGCTACACCCGCCAGAGAGGTTTCACCGTTCAGATCTTCTCCGCACGCCCCGCCTTCTCGGAAGATGTCCAATCTCAGGAGTGCCTACCGGTATCTCAGGACAAATTGGCACCCAGTCAAGCCCCATGGGTGCTGGGGGCATTACTGGATTTGTCGAATCTCACCCGGCCCGCCCGTCGATCTGGCCGGTAGACAGCGGGTGGCAAAGTCTTCGACCAGCCGCCAAAGGCTGCATCGTACTCAATACCTGTATGACTATCGTAGGTTTCCCAAACGACCGGTGCCCCACGTGAGGATGATACCCAGATAACCCCGGGATGTTGGCGAGCTATCAACGGAACAAGAGGATTTATTGAAATATTGGGGGTATAGATTGGTCTGCAGTGTCTTGATTGCTCGGCAGCCTGTTTCTTAATTCCTGAGGCTTTTAAAGGGGTGGTGAAGTTTTTAGTTGCATCGTCTTTAGGTGTCCGGGTTTTTAGTCCCACTAGGAGTAAACAGGGGCTCTGAAGGAAGAGGATTTTTTTTTCGCAACCTCCAGGGGATCTACGATACCCAGAATATTGGAAGCCTTTTATCAGGGGCGTCCCATTTTTTTGTGCCCGCGTTGGGTACGGTAAAGGCCTCTTCCATCGGTGTCGTGTGCTTGCCGCCCGAGCGCTCCTCGATTTTTGCTGCCTCGGAGCATACGGTCTGTCCCAACGTCGCGAGATTCTCGCACTGTGGGCTCCCGCGTAGGGGCAAAGCTCCACCAATTGGACTGCAAAGATTTACTAACCCTCACGACGCCGGAACAGACTGTACACGATTGCAACCTACGGTGTCCGGCGCCCTGCAATACACCTGCCCTTCTTCTGAACTCATTGCCGTCCCTGAGAATTCCAGTATACACTCCCTCTGTCACCCCGCCTACCGTCGCTATCATGGAAAACAGACAGATCCGGAAGGTTGTTGACAACCCCTTAGAAGCCACCACATCCTCAGAATCACTGAACGAACAAACCTCTTTTTCACCTTCACCCTCTCGTGGAGGATCGTCTTCTGAATCGTTTCCTTTCTACTTCCACCACCGTGACCCCACTGCCGCCGCGGGTCCAGGGAGTGATTTTGGCCCGATCTCCCTAGATGGACCGGATATCGTCTATCCTATTCGATCATTAGTCAACATATCACGACCCCCTCCCGGGCCCGACTCGCCGGCCGGCAGCAGCAGTTTGGGTAGCCCCACGGGAGAGGGGCTGCCATATGCGGGGAGCGGGAGCCAGCCTAGGCCTCGAGAAACATCGATGATATCCGGGTTGGATGGGGGGTCGTCCACCGAGTCTCTAGCTGGAGGAAAGGGAGCATCGGGAAACTTTGGCGGGATTCCGGCATCGGGGCAGAGTCCACTGCTAAGTACCGTTGGGGAGAGTGTAGCTGGCGGGGGGATGTTTCGCAGTGTCTCAGAGTCATCCGACAAAAACCCTAGATATGGGACTTCGCCAGGGGGGAGCAATGAGGGATATGTGACTGCAAGATTCAAGCATCTGGTGACAGATGAAGGACATATGGTAATCACAGGTGTTTCTGGGAGTGAAAGTATACGGAGGTGTGAAGATGAGCCAATACGTATACCTGGGGCAGTCCAAGGGTTTGGCGTTTTAATAGCTCTCAAAGATGTGGACGGAAGGCTTGGTGTAAAGATTGTTAGTGAGGTTTGTGCCCTTCCACCGTTCATCCCTTCCAATTGCCGAAATTCTGAATCATTTGGGTATAGAATTCTGAGAAGATAATCGGTTACTCACCAGCAGCCCTCTTCGCCTTAGACGGCTTTTGCGATATTCTCTCCGAAGAGCAGGCCGAGAGTCTATATGAACACTTAGACTTTGTCCGAGAATATGTATCTGTGCACTCAGGACCGGACGTCTTCCCGTTGGCGATAACCTCCCCTAATTCAACAGAGATAAAACTTTGGTGCGCTGTTCACATTGCAGAAAAGAGCTCCGGCCTGCTCATTTGTGAGTTTGAATTGGAGGACGATCACATCTATCCACTTTTTAGTCGAACAGAAGAGGAAACACTCCCACCGCCAGAGGACACACTGAACTCAACCCCTAGCGAACAAGATTTATTAGAGAGCACATTAAGTGGTAGCAAGCCGCTGCGAGTGCTAAGGCATGCCCGGGGGCAGAGGGGGCAGGTTGCAGCAATGGAGGTTTTTAATCTCATGAGCCAGATCCAGGGTAGTTCATCAAATCCTTTTCGTGGTATAACTTATGAAGGTGCGCACACTGACAATGTCCAAACACAGAGCAATTTTCATCTGCCTCGACTCTAGATGTGTTTCTAAGAGTGGTTGTTGGGATTATTAAAGAGCTCACGGGATTTCACCGTGTGATGATTTACCGGTTTGACGAGGTCTGGAATGGCCAGGTGGTTACCGAATTGGTCGACCCAAGAGCAACCAAGGACCTTTACAAAGGCCTTAACTTCCCAGCTTCGGATATCCCGAAGCAAGCAAGAGATTTATATCTCCTCAACAAAGTCAGACTGTTATACGATAGAGACCAGGTGACTGCTCGTCTTGTGTGCAAGAGTAAAGAGTATTTAGACGATCCTCTTGACATGACTCACTCATACCTGAGGGCAATGAGTCCAATTCACATCAAGTACCTTGAAAATATGGCGGTGCGAGCTAGCACGAGTATTTCACTTACAGCATTCGATAAGCTTTGGGGGCTCATTTCATGCCACAGCTACGGCCAGAAGGGGATGAGAGTGAGCTTTCCTATACGGAAAATGTGCAGACTCATCGGAGAGAATGCTAGCAGGAATATCGAGAGGTTAAGCTATGCATCGAGACTTCAAGCCAGGAAATTGATCAATACGGTCCCGACGGGGCAGAACCCTAGCGGTTATATCATCGCTAGTTCAGACGATCTGTTGAAACTATTTGACGTCGACTTTGGTTTGCTTTCAATCTGCGAGGAAACTAAGGTCCTCGGTCAACTCGAACATTCACAGGAATCACTCGCAATGTTGGAGTATTTACGGGTGCGCAAATTCACTTCCGTGCTTACTTCCCAAAACATTATCGTTGATTTTCCGGACCTCAGTTACGAACCTGGATTTTCAATAATTGCGGGGCTGTTGCTTGTGCCACTCAGCGTTGGAGGACAAGACTTTATAGTTTTCTTCCGCAAAGGCCAGCTGTGGAAAGTCAACTGGGCCGGGAACCCCTACGAGAAGAACGCCAAAGAAGGTACAAAGGAGTATCTGGAGCCGAGGAAAAGCTTCAAAACTTGGAGTGAGACGGTGGTGGGAAGATCTAGAGATTGGACGGAAGAGCAGGGTGAGCAACGAGTGATTTTCGCGCTTTACTTTCAGAGACTAAATTTGTTATTATCGATGTACAGTTGAAACGGCCGCGGTCTTGTGTTTGATCTACGGCAAGTTTATTGAAGTTTGGAGACAAAAAGAAGCAGCGCTGCAAGCCAGCCAGCTTACCCGACTGCTCCTAGCTAACGCGTCCCATGAGGGTCAGTGTACCGCGGAGTTCCCCCTTTTTCAGACGCCATCGCTCATGATTTATATAGTCCGGACGCCTCTTAATGCCATTATCAATTACCTTGAGATTGCGTTGGAGAGCCCTCTTGACGATGAGACAAGGGATAATCTGATGAGATCGCACTCTGCGTCCAAATCACTAATTTACGTCATCAACGATCTGTTAGATCTCACCCGCACCGAGGCAGGCCAGGTTTTGATCATGGAGGAGGCATTTGACCTTTCCGAAACAGTTCGTGATGCTACTGAAAGATATAAATCGGACGCTGAACGAAAGAGTATCACCTTCGAGGTCATTGAATGCGAAGGGTTACCTAGATTTGTGAAGGGTGATCAGGCACGGTTGCGGCAGGCTGTTTCCAATATTGTAGGAAACGCTATTAAACACACTTTGGAAGGTGGCGTTAGGGTTGAGATCTCGATGCCCCAGGTTGTTGACGGCCGGTGCCAGATTGAAGTTGTGGTCCAGGATACCGGGGTTGGAATGTCATCGGAGAAACTAGAGGCGCTTTTCCGGGAATTCGAGCAAGTCCACACCGAGGAGGAGGATGCGATGAATCGTCAGGAGGCAGGAGGGGACAGGAACCCACTTTCAACATCCTTTAACGCGTTGTCTAAAGTACCAGGGCAGAAGGTTTTAGGGCTTGGGTTGGCAGTTGTGGCTCGGATTGTGAGGAATATGAATGGCCAGCTTCGATTGAAATCCGAGCGGGGGAATGGCTCTAGGTTTTCCATTAGCCTTCCTTTCTCACTTCTATCCAAAGCGGAGCTTGACTCGGAGAAGAACGAAGGAGTTGCCGAAAGGCAAAAGTCGCTCTCACCGCAGCCATCTTCAGTGGCTTCCACTCCGGGTCAGGTATCACTAATTGGTTCTCAGAACCGCGTATCTCAGGATGTAGGGAAGAAAAATGGCGGCTCTGATATGGACCGTTTGGGGTCCTTTTGCGGTGCCAAAAGCGGGGGGATTAAGATCGACAGGTTTGCCCACGGAATCCCAAGTCTCCATTTGGACCCGCCCCCGAACAACCCACCTGCAGGGCCAGGAGCTGCCATACGCGCGAGATCTTCCCCGAATACTATGAGTTTCGCTACACCACAGCAAAAACCTAGCCAGGAGATGGTAGATGGCTCAGACGTGCCTATCAAGGCCCTAACAGTGTCAGATGAAAACTCTAGCCCCACCGCACTGCCCGCAGCAGATACGGCACCGCTTATAGAACTACCTCCCACTGCCAATCCCAATTCGCCCACAGAGCTCCCAGAGAAGTATGAAATTTTGGTGGCGGAAGACGATCCAATCAATAGCAAGATTATCAAGAAGCGATTGGAAAAGATGGGTCATGGGGTTGTTCTCACTGTAAATGGAGAAGAATGTGCAGACCTATACTCCAAGTATGGTCAAAATTATGACATCGTGTTGATGGACATGCAGGTAAGTTCGATTGATTTTCGAAGTTTAGTAACAGCTCCTGACCCCTGCAGATGCCTATCATGGATGGGGGAACCTCAACCACTCGCATCCGTCAATTTGAAGGAGCAGATCCAAGTCGCTATATCCCGAAAAGGCACCGTATTCATTGCCGCGTACCGATTTTTGCTGTCTCAGCTTCACTAGCTGAAGAGAGACTAGCGGAATATATTGACTTTGGCTTCGACGGATGGATACCGAAGCCTATCAACTTCGGAAGACTAAAGTCACTTCTAGATGGTATCCGGGATCCGGCCGTAAGGGCGAAAAACGCCTACGAGCCCGGGCATTTGGAGCATGGGGGATGGTTTTCCAGGGCCCCTGGAGATGCTGGTCCCTCGCCGCAGAAGCACGAAGATGTCCCGGCGGCTCTGAGAACTCAAGGTGAAGACCTAGGTAGAATCTGATTGCCCGAACCTGTTTCGCCGGGCTTTGCCTTCTTGGTTCTTGCATGATCGCATTGTTGGTCCATCCCAAGCGATTTCTCGGTGTCCTAGTGTAGACAATGGACTTAAAGGTACCCAAAGCGTGTGCGGGAAAGTGAACAGGTGTCGCTTTGCGCCGATTTTTTTTTTCTCAGCCTTTTTCTTTTACCATCCTAAATCTATCTCCCCCCGGGATTTCGTAGTTGGAAGCGGAAGGAGGTACATACCGGTACCTACCTCTGGGAACGCTATCCCCCCTATTTTAATATCTCTTCCTGCTTCCCTCTTCAAATCTTCTCTAGTAAGAGCAAGGAAGTTCTCCATGCATCTATTTCCTCATTTTTTTTTTCTTATTCGGGGTCGTCCAAATCTCAAAGTTGCTCTTGTATACGTCTGATATCGGGCGTTTGGTTTTCTTCTCTTTATGATTCTGAGCTAGCACGGGGGCTGGATTGCGTTTGCTCGCTTCTATCTACCCTATTCCCATCAACTCCCTTCCTATACTGCTTAGAAGGGGGATAGGGCGGCCGACGGAAAAAATATTACGGGTGTTAATCGGGGATGACAAAATTTCTCGTAATATTGGGCTTTCCTCAATCCATGGCATTGCCTTCTCCGTAGCTGGTTCAGCCCGGAGACGGAGCGAAATGGCTACTACTGTAGAAGCATCTAACCGACAATTGGTACGATTTGGTGGCCGAGTGGTTAAGGCGTTACGTTTAGGAACTTTGTTCAAAACCGTAATTCGAAAGAGCGCGAGTTCGAATCTCGTCCAAATCATCCATGTTTTTACTACTAAATTTTTATATAAAAGCCAAACAAAGGTTCCACTCGAGGGTGAGTGGGGGTGATGGAGTCGATGTCGCGGTCGCTTTGGCTTACGTCTAGGTAAGATAAAGTGTTAGGTGCAGGAGGGGTTAGGATACCTGTACGAGTACTGTGCTCGAGAGAGTACTTGTGCTGTGCATAGGCAGCATCGAGGGTTACCTGGCGGAGCGTTGTAGTATCGTCGGGTAATAGCCACGTTCCACGTACGGCAGTTGAAGAATCTTGCGCTTTTAGTGTAATTTTAGCACCTGGCGACTGTACCTGTATCATACACCCAAACCAGAGGCTGTAGTTTTAAGGGCATTTCGGCTGTGCGTCGGTTTTTACAAGAAAGGCATATCATAGGCAGCCATCAACTGGCCTTGTGTAGACTACCGTACTGTATACGGAACTCGAGTACTTTGTGAAGAAGAATACCGGTATCTGGATATCCGGGGCCAGTGGAGCTTAGCCTCTCCCTGTCGCCCAGGACCCCCACTGTCGTATCAAACCGAAAACGGGACGTCCCGAGCCAACAGAAACACGCAGGAAGGCGCCAGGAGTCGAGTGACGAAATATGATTGGTTGCAACCCCTCCATCCAATCCGTAATTGAAGGAAGCCCTTGTCAACAATCGAAAACCTCTCGAATCCCATCATAAATATACCGTACCGGTAGGGCGCGTTTTTTTTGTTTTTCCTATTTTTAATAGGCCTTCGATCAGAAACGGCGATAGTTATCCGTGGAGTACTGCGAGTACATTCCTCCGATCGCCGCATTTGCCCTTTTCTCATTGCTCCCTCCCTTACTTTTCTACTCTACAGGCACTTCTCTAGCACGGTACTGTGGCTTATCTCTGCTCGAGTAGTATCGGTACAAGTACTCGAGTACAGTGCAGCGAACAGAGGACTCGCAGAGCACGGACCTGGTTGTGAGGGCTTCCATCCTGGTTCGCTTCCTCCCTCCAATGGTAACTAACTTCCAGCATGGCAGGTCGCATTTTCCTGACAATCTCCTCAGCAGCCTTGTTCACCCGTGCAACGCCTTCCATATCGTCCCACACAGCGGCGTCCAGGTGTGTCACCCGAGCAGAGATCCAAAATTTGAAATAAAAGAAGCGGGGGTGTGCTCTGCTGTTTATTTTTTTTCCTTCCCGACCGGTTTTCGTCATTGTTATTTATTTATCATTAATTTATCAAGTTCCCGGGTATTGCTCACCAGACCTCAGATCTCCTCTCCTTCTCTTCCGTCACGGTTAAAGGAAAGGTTTTTTTTTCTTTTTCCTTCCCCAATATGCGTCGGTTTTTCCGAAAGTTTAGACGGCAGAGGTCGACGAATCCTCCTCCGCCCGTTTTGACTGTTAATATTCCCGATTCGAGGCTTTCCATCGATGCTTCGAGGGCTAAGCCGGTGCCGGTGCCGATGTCGGTGTCGCAGCCGCAGCCGCCATCGCCGACTTTGGATGAGACGAGGGCTACACCCGCTGCACCGGCGAGGAGGATGACGGCACCTCCGGCTGTTTCTGCTTTTTATGGTGCTGGGAGTGGTGGTGGAAGTGGTAGTCGGAGGACAGTGCTGGCGTCACCGGTTCCCCAGACGGCGCAATTGAGCAATGGTTTCCACGTGAAGAGGCATCAGCACGAGGTAGAGGAGAGAGAGGGGATGGTGGAGGAGGTGGAGGAGGTGGAGGAGGCTGTGGCGGATGCCGTGGAGGGGGGGGAAAGGGCAGAGGAGGAGGGATCAAAATTTCTCGAGTTACCGAACGAGTTGGTGCTCGCGGTCGCGGAGGTTCTCCCTGTGTCGAGTATTTCGGCGTTGTTACAGTGCAACCGCCGGCTCTCGATGCTCCTCGAATTGACTCTCTATCGAACCGCGGTGAAGCATTCCGAGTACGGCAGGTCTATGTTCTGCCGATGCATCCAAACGGGGAACACTCGCTCCACGCTCCGAATGTTAGAGTTAGGCGCGGACGTCAACTCGATTGCCCGCACGGGCGACGGGAGAACACCCCTGCACTACGCGGTCAAAAGCAAGAACCTCAGCATCGTGAGAGCGATTCTCGAGAAGCCGGGAGTGAAGATAGACGTCGGTGACACGACCCATATGTCCTCCACACCACTAAGTCTCGCCGTGAGCGAAGGTCACAAGGGGATTGTGAAGCAGCTGCTCGATGCGGGCGCTGACCCGCGCAAACCTCCCGTGGCAAAGGAGTGCTACAACGGCATTAACCGCGGAAGACTATGCGTCCTGCGCTCGCTCATCGACCACGGCCTCAGCGTCGACTACACCGAGGGCACGGGGAACACGTTCCTGCATTCCGCGGCGACCTTCGGCAACCTCGAGGCCGTGCGCATGCTAATTTCGTGCGGCGCCAACGTCGCGGTCGCCAACGTTAACGGCGTCATACCGCTCTACCGCGCCGCCGAGGACAATTACCTCGATGTTGCCCGCCTGCTGCTGTCCGAGATGCGCTCGGCCGGTGCTTGTGATGCCGCAACTAGATATGGGGCTACCTCCCTTCACGCTGCTGTTAAAAAGAATCATATCGAGTTTGCGAGGCTGCTGATTAAACATGGGGCGGGGCTGAATGTGCAGGATAATTTCGGAGATACCCCGCTGCACGCCGCGGCGTCTCGGGGGCTCAAGGATATGGCTGAGTTGTTGGTCCAAGAGGGCGCTCGGATTCATATCAGGAATAGGGGAGGGCTCCGACCTTCGGGGGATGCTGGTGCAGCGGGGCATTTGGAATTGGAGAGGATTTTGGAGGGAATGGAGAGTGACAGGGTATGGAGGGGTGCTGAGAATGGTGGTGATGATGATGATGATGCAAATTCATTCGCTGATAGCACGCTTTACTTTCCCTCTCGAGGTTTTCTCTAGCCTTCCTTCTTCTATGATAGCATCTCCTTTTTATCATTTCTTTATCCTTCTTTCCTTCTTTCCAATGCTTTCTTTGATCTCTCTCTCCGGTCTCTATTTTGTTCAGATCATACCTGCAGACATCCACCTTGATTCCGCGCGGTCCGCCGTACTTATACCAAATGTGTAGCACTCACAAAGCATGGTATGGTGAGATACAGTATGAGGGATCAAGCTCTGCCGTCACTATGCCTTCCATCCATCCATCTTTCCCACCCCCCACCTCCAGGCAGACCCGAGTCGTGATCATGGCCTCCGCCCGGCCCGATATGTGTTAGCCGCGATCTCACCGAAAACTTAAAATCAAAAGCCTTAAATTTAGGGACCATTTGGTGCGTAAGGCGTGAACGTGACGTGCTCGGGTATTGCCTTGTGTGCGTCACGCCCCCTTTAAATTAAATTATTGTAGGGGGTTTGCGGTGGTGCGGTAAAGTGCGGTATATATATATACGGTACAAGTGTTAAGACGGGAAAGCAACCCTGCTACGATATGTATCAGCCGACTCGACGTCGACCATGATTGGTCGGGTCCGGTGACTTGGTCTTCCCGTTGAACTGAATATGAATTCGCCCACATTCTCACATCCCCCCTGGGAACTTTGTCGATCCCTGGATAGATCTACCGTCAACTCACGGGTGTTACTGTATTATTACAGGTAGTACGGTACCAGTCAATAATACTCGTGGAGTAACTTACTTCTACCAGTAGTCCGGTAGCTCAGCTTTACTGGGCGGGCAAAACACCGGAATTAGTGCAAACATATCCCCGTGAGCAATACCGTGGTTTTACCATACCGGTGCCAGACCAGGCCCCCAATAAGTCCATTGCCCAAAAGGTACTAGTCGAGTGACCCCTTATGAACTCTACGGTTCGCGAGATGGTGATTCTCGGGCGGCCGAATTCTAGATCACCGGCAACTAAATATATTACCGGCCGCCGTCACCACCGCGAACGGAAACATGGGCGTGTGTGTGGGCTTTTTTGTATCAATTCCTACGGTCCCAGGCGTCGGTTCTCCTTCGGATCAGGACGGCGAACTCCGGACGCAAGTATGAGAGGGGTATTTGCTTTTGGCTTACTCAGCCACTGAATTGAGTCCTCGTGGAACCCAGCTGGGTGGGTGGGGAGCTTTGGATACGGCACGGTAGGTGCTGGATTGTGCTAGGTATAAGTCGGTGTGTGCGCTATGCTGTGCTGGAGAATATATTTGTGCGAGTCCACACTGCTCCTCCCCTCCCACGCGCTGCATGGTATT